GTAAGAATAAGGTATCCAGGAATAAAAGTCTATAAGATTGCTTATAGAGTCCATTGAGGTAGAGACAAAGCTTAATGGTTGTTCATTCTTAGAAAGTGAACCAACTATCAATAATGTATGACTGCCAACACAATGCAGAAATTTTTTTAAAAATTAACTGTAATCCATATCTACCCTCTCTAAGCATAGCCTTAATGACTCCTATGAAATAAATTTGGCACTTATAATTTCAGTTTCACAAGAGTTGAAAAGATCAGAGACACATATATTATTGAATCTAAAAGGCAGAAAAACAATAGACTGGAATCACAGCAAGCTCCTCCATATTACATCGTGAAAAGAAGATATAATAAAATCTCAAAGTATCTTATGTAATATACTGATAATCTATCATAAAAGAAAATTTTGGAATAGTTATGATTATGCCATATATTGTTACCCCTGAATCCATGACCTCTCTGTCCAGTAAAAGCATTTGGAAAACTTAAACTGCAAAGACAGCAGTCACTTTTTTGTGGGTATTGGGTAGATTTCTAAGCTTTGCAATCCATGTAGATAGTGATGCATAAAACAATACATCCGATTGCCCCTTCTACCTCCATTTCTTTAAGTAAACCCTGATCTAGACCTCAAAACTGGGCAAGGAAAAAAGCCCAGGGATAATAAGTTTGGGCGATAACTCACATTACACACAAAAGAAAATGTCCCTTGGTAAGTCTTCCTTCTATCTACAACATCCACTTTCACATTATATTTTATTTCATGCCTTTTGATGGTCATCAATCAGAAGGACAATTCTATTCTTTGTTGGTAACTGGTCTATGCTTCCAAAAGTGAAAAGCTCACTGAAATAGAAGCTGCAGCAGTTGAGAACCAGGTCACAGATGTGAATGAGACAAAGTGAGAAACGGCTCTGAAGTTTAACAAAGCAAGAAATCCCAGATGCAGAGGACACAGAACAGGCAGAGGACACAGTATGAATAATAAAGCTTCATACTCAAAATAGTAGAAAGATCAAACTAAAGTAAAAACAAACATTTTTAAAGAACTGAAGTTTTCCTACTTTTAAAAACAATTAGTATATGATTTATTTGACCCTCCCAAAAAAATGACGTCTGTATCATAACAGCAGATCCAGTAGATTACAACTTGTGGGTATAATTAAAATGAACAATGTTAATTCCCTTTCTAAATTTCGTTTCTCCCCTCTGTTTATGAAAACATAAAAGGGAAACAAGAAAAAGAAGCTCAGTATTATAAAAATCTGCTATTATACCTAAAATAAAAAAGATTCCAAAAGAATTCAAAAGAGAAGGAAAATAAAATGGCAGAGGCATTTATTTTGTAGTATGTATACACTCAATTGTTGGCTCTTTTATGCACATACAAAGTTAAAATTTTATGAGCTCCAGGAGTTCCAATTTGAAAATATGTCCTGCACTAAAGACTAAAGAAACAAAAAAATTTTTATAGTAGTCCCCCCCAAAAAAGATCTTATCCTTCCTCTACATCAAATAAAAAAACCTAAGTATCATCATGATTCCTCCTTTTCCCTTACCTCTTATTTCCTCCCACCAAGTTGTCTCAGTTTTTCTTCAAAAACATTTACAAGTTACCTACTCATCTCCACTACCACTGGGGCAATCCAACCTATCTTCCATCTTTAGATTAAACTTCTATAACAGCCTCCTCTCCATTTCTCTGTTGTCCTCCTCTTACTCAGCCTCAACACGGCTGCATACATGATCCTTTTAACTTAAATCCTATGCCACTCTTCCACTAAAACCTTTACAAGCTTCCCACTTCACCCAAAATTAAATTCAAACTTCTCTCCGTGATTCTCCATGATTCAGATCCTGCCTGCTTCTGCAAGCTCACTTTGTATCACTCTTCCTCTCCATTACACATTCCCGATATATCTATCTTTTGATCCTCAAATAAGTCATGCTCTCTCCTACTTTACAACTTTTGCATTTTCTGTTCTCTCTTCTTGGAAAGATCTCTCAACTCTTAAATTCTGGTTTTGTTTTTAGGACTTGAAGAACACACTGATGTCAAAAAATCAAATACCAAAAGCATATGAAAAAACACTGCTTTCCACCAACCATCTAGAGAATTACCATTAATAATTTGAGGACAATCCTTTCCTACATCTCTCTATGGATATATGTGCTATTATATACTCTATCTATAAATAACATTCCATACGTTCCAACTCTTTCATGCTGGTTCTTTCTCATACTTTAGTTCTCTCCTCAAGAGACCTTCCAGGACCAACCTGAAGCAGCTGATTCCTCTTTTTCACATCACCTTGTTTACTTTTTTCATTGCACTTATCTCTCTCTAAATTACCTATGTTTGTTTGTCTCTTCATTTTTTGTCTGTCCAACTCCAACAGAATGTAAGCTCCATGAGGGCACAAATCTTGTCACTACTTCTTAATCACTAGGATCTAGCCAACTACTTGAACGGATTGCAAATGCCAATATTTACTGAAAAAAAACAGATAATGGCTTTGATTAATATTTGTAAGCTGCCAAATCCTAAATTTATATCTCCTCTTCAGACTTTTCTCCTAGGCTTCATACTCATACTTAACCATCCCACTGGGCAGCTTTATCTAATGTGAACACTGGTATTTTAGTCTCAGCGGTCACCAAATCTATTCCTCCTGAGGTTGTTCACCATATTTAGATGACAGTACCATCAGCAAAATTTCCCAAGCTATAAACATGAATTTTATCTTTGATCCAATTCTTCCCCCACACCCCACATCCAACTAACCACCAAGTGCCTCATGTTCACCTCCTAAATCTCTTCAATCCATCATTGTTTCTCTTCCCTTCTACCAGCACTCAAGTATAAATCACCATGAATCATTTCTCCCCTAGACAACTACAATAACATTTTAGCTTGCTGCTCCAGATCCATTCTTATTCCCCTCTAATTTATTCTCCATACTACAGCCTCAATGGTATCTTTAAAATAACACTATAATCATGTCATATTCCTTCTTTAAGATCTTCAGTGGCTTTCCACTACTCTTAGATTAAAGCCTAAAATCCTTATCATGAACTAAAAGGTCCACAAGAAATATCCCTTGCCTGATTATCTAGACTTGTCTCTATAATCCAGTCTTTAGACTTCTTTCAATTCTTTAAATCTGTCATGCTCTATCCTCCCTCAGGCTTTCAAATATGCTGTTCCTTCTACCTGAAACACCACCCACCATGTCACACCACCCTTAATATACATACTCATCCTTTGGGTCTCAAACTCAAACATCACTTCCTCAGGGAGTCTGTAATAGGCAGAATACTAAAGATAGCCCTCTCCTTCCCCAAGATTTCTATCCTCTGGTTATACAATCAAATAGTAGTCTACTGCTGTGAAGGAATTTTGCAGACATAATTATTATTCAGGTGATTTTAAAATAGAGAGATTATCCCAGTGGGTCTAATATAATCTGTTAAACCCTTAAAAGCCCAAGAGCAGAACAGGCCCAAGAGCAGAACAGGAAGTCAAAGAGATGCCTCAGAATATGATTTCACTCATATGCGCAATATAATGAACAACTGAAGTAACCTGGAAAATGGGTACAGACTCATAGATGGAGAGCAGTATGACAGCTCGTGGTGAGAGGGGGGCGATTAGGGGATGAAGGAATTGAGCAAAAAGGACTAATGGACATGGACAACAGTGTGGTGGTAATTGCTGGGGGGAGGGGTGGTTTAAGAGGACTAAAAAGTATGGAAAAATATACAATAAAGATTAACAAAATGAAAAATAAAAAGAAGTTGGCCAATAAACTGATTGAGTCCCTAAGAAGATTCTCCCCATGGAGATTCCAGGTAAGACTCCACACCAGCTAATAACCTTGATTTAGACCTGTAAGAACCTAAACAAAGAACCTAATCAAGCCATCTGTTCTGACCTTCACAACTGTGATACAAGAAATGGGTGTTGGTTTAAGCCAGTAAATTTGTGGCAGCAATAGAAAATGAATGCAAAGGCCCTTTCCTGACCCCTACCTCCACCCCAGACTGTATGCGTGAGGACCCCTGTTAAATGCTCCTATAGCATTTGATACTTCTCTTTCATAATATTCACCACACTTATTACTTAATTCAATGTATGCAGTCTAAGATCTACAGTCAGAAATTTTGTATTTTTGCATACCATAAAGCATTATAATCCAATGTCTATGCAATTGGTACCCATAAAGGTTTGTTGATTGAATGGACAATTTTTTTCTTCAATTATCTCTCAAAGTTCTCAATCACAACACAATCTCTGTAATGTACTATATTATAAAATATTTCTATTTTAAGGGCCAATTGCTCCTTTAAAAAATATTTTATTTATTTACTTTTAGAGAGAGGAGAAGGGAGGGAGGAAGAAGGAGAGAAACAACAATGTGTGAGGGATACATCGATTGGTTGCCTCTTGCCCTCACACATCCCTTACTGGGGACCTGGCTCACAACCCAGGCATGTGCCCTAACTGGGAATTGAACCAGCAGCCTTTTAGTTCACAGGCCAGTGCTCAATCCAGTGGGTGATACCAGCTATGGCAGGCCAATAGTAGTGTCTAAAAAGAGTGAAGACAAGTAGAATGAATGAAATACATTCAGAATCACTGGGGCTGTTGTTCTTTTTGTTTTACAAATCCTCCCTCATTTGCCTCTACCCATAGTCTGAAATGCCCACTCCATGCCCAATTCGCCTACGGAAGTATGACCATCTGGTAGAGAATTATAAAAGACTGTCATATAAAGCCATTATTACTAATGTAACCAGGTCACATTCCTCAGGTATGCTGGATTGCAAATAAAGGTTTAAAACAGCATTTTACTCTTTTAAAGAAATATTTTTCAAACTGAAAAAACAAAGCAAATTTATTCAATCTGAGACATTGCTTTTTTCTAATAAAAAAGAATGAACATATTAAAACTATCTTGTCAGAAAGATGAAAGGTCAACAAAAAGACAATTTACTTACATCAATGGGAAAGCAAAAAATGGGAGTGTCATGGCAAGTCTTGCTGTAAGTTCATCGGGAAGATACCACAAGTACACAATTAAACATGTAAACAGATAGAGAATTGAGGAGTAAAGAATTAATCTTCCAACCCATAATTTTTGTAGTCTCTGATTTTTTTCCCTAAATTCTTCCAATGCTTGAATTTCCTGTTAAGAGAAAATTACTTTATATTATTAAGTCTCAAATTTATAAAGATGCTAAAATGCTAACAAAATTTTTTCACATGATAGAGAGGTTAGACAGAAATTTTAAATTTCAATGAAATGTGTAATACCTTAATAAACAACATAATATAAAAAACTAAAAGTAAAGTTAAAAATAAAAGTGGCCCTGGCTGGTGTGGCTCAGTGGATTGAAAGCCAGCCTACGAACCTAAGGGTGGTTCAATTCCCAGTCAGGGCACACACACGCCTGGGTCACGGGCCAGGCCTTCAGTGGGGGGCATGCGAGAGGCAACCACACACTGATGTTCCTCTCCCTCTTTTTCTCCCTCCCTTCCCCTGTCTAAAAATAAATAAATAAAATCTTTCAAAAAATAAATAAATCAATAAATAAAAATGCCTATTCTGACAATCACTTTTTTAAATACAATATTAAGATACTATTTTTTACCTAACAAGTTAGCAAAGATCAGATGTATGAAATTAGCATTGATAAATAGTATTTGTTAAACAAGTAATAATTCTCCTGTATAAAGTCTATAAAATATCTGGCTATAAAAATAATTAATAAATATTGAAACAGTGATCTATACTATATTCTTTCAATCTATTCATTGCTCTCACTATTCTCAAGGAATAGCCATATTTAATAATCATAGAAAGCCTAAAAGGCTGTAAAGTTTGCAGACTAATAAAACTTGTTGCAGACTATCTTATAATCTACTTTATCCTATCTGTAACATTGATTTATACAATGCTGTACTTCTAATTTCCTTCAAACACACTCTATCATTTGGCACAGTCTTAATTCAGTGACAGACTTTGGATTTTTTGAGATCATGTAACATTAAAGTTGTCATGCTTCCTCTCTATCATCTCTAAATTCCCATACCAAATTCAGTCTCCAAAATAATATATATTAATATAATATTTATGTAACACCTAAAATGAATTAAAACTCCCCAGAGGCAAAGAACATACCTTATCTATATTTTCCAGAACTTCTACAGTTGAAGGTTTTGTCTGTTATAAAAATAGAAATGAGACAGCATTAAAACTTCTTACTGCACAGAAAAATAAATTCTTACTGCAAATTTACAAACACCATGAGTTATATAATCATGAAAGAACACTTTAATCCAAAATTGTTTTTTAAAATGTTGTCAAGCTTTATATATTACTGTTTATTTATAAATAAGATTGAGATTTAAGTAAAAATTATCATTATAAACAGGACTACATAAAATTAAATAAACATTTTCCTATTTAACTTCCTTTTAATCCTACAAGTACTTTCAACTTTGATACCTCAATTTTTACTATTCTTAATCCCAACAGAACATATTTTTACCAAGAAACAAATTTTTTTCAAAGAAAAATTTTCTTAGATATGACGGCTCAAAGAATTCATATATTAAAAATTCAAAACTAAAATTGGTCTGATTTGCTATTGCTGAAAGTTCACTAAGGACTCTGGAGGTCAAAATCAATACACTACCTTCATTCTGAACTCCTAAAGTACTTTTCTGAAGATCAGATTGTAAAAGGGCATCTAAGAATACTCCAGTATAACAGGGCTTATTTGTTAAAGGTGTTTTTTAAACAACCTAGAATAAAAACCAGCCAAAATGACTCATACACTTGAGAAAATTTTACCAATTATATACTCAACAATCTAAGAGGGTAGTGAATATCAATTCACTGTAGTTCCCAAAAGAGTTGTTAACATTAGGTTGAACCATATGAAATTGCTATTCATGTAAGTCAAAGCTGTTGAATACTGGCTCTTTCATAAGGTTCAACCTAACAAGAAAGACAAAGGAAGAACAGATAAGTTTGATATGTAGGCAGAACTATAAAAAGGTTTATAAAAGGGGGCAGGGGTCAATATAATGCCAATCCAAAACATAGCAGTTCCAGCAGTACTTCAAAACTATATTGTGTTCCAAGTATTACTAAGGTAAAAAGAAGTCCAAAAAATAAAGTAATTTGGCCTAGACTACATTATCTCCTCTTATACTAGAGAAGAGCATTTATCAATATATTTTATATTTTATACCTCTCAAGTTGAGCTACTTCCTCTAAAGTTTTAACCAATAAAGTCAGACTGTATTTTTAATTCTGTTTAACCTTTATTTCCTAAAAGTATATTTCATAACATCAGTAAATATTTGTGATAAGTTTTAAGCAAAAAGATATAGCCTATAAAAACATAAGTATTATATAAAATACTAATTTCAACTACTGAATTTTAGGCACTATGAGAAGAAAACAAGATAACCATTTGTACATAAATACATAAATAGAGAAATAAAAACATTTCATAAGTAAGAGTGAACTAATTCTGTTCAACAGAGACACTGGATACCTACATAGCAAGTACAACTATTAAAGTCCAAATAAAAAACTAATTTATAAGAGAAAAAAAATTAGAGTCAGGGATAATATCAAACTACTACTTAAGTCTACACCACAAAGGGAACCTTTACAAATAGCTTTATTTGACACTTTAATATTAGACTAAAAACTGTCTGTAAAGAAAAGTAACTTACCCTCCATCGAGAAAATAATCCACCCATCTTTTATTTGTAGAAACTGAGCACAATGATAAATACCATCAATTGTCCAAAGGAATTCACAGCTAGAAATGAAGCAAGTATTTTTAAAATTTGAGTTACAACACATACAACACCCACCATAAAATTTAGAAATTGTAATACTGCTTAAAAATACTATAGAAGATTAATTTCTTTGGACCCCTCTTATGTCAAATTTTAATTTAGTCTTAGGATAAAGTCCACCTTTCAAAAAATCCTTTCTTCCAAGCCAGGACATATTTAAAAGTGAAAATAAAGCTGGAAAAGCTTTTTAATGGCAAGAGATTTTAGAAGTATATATTCATACCACTTTGCAATTTTCTGTTCTTTAAAGTAGGTCCCTTTTGCTGTTCTTGTAAGAAAAGTTTTACTATATTACTTTCATTCTACATGATTAAACACAAATTTTTCTATCACTCAGCTGTTTCCCAACTGAACTACTTATTTGGAATTAAAGGTGTATTACAATGTTTTAAAAAACATCACTTTTTAAGTAATAATAGAAAACCAATTGGATTTTTAATAAGAATAGAAGGATTTCAAGGCTACCTGTGATACTGAGCAAATCACTCAATGTTTTTGAGCCTTAATTTTGTTTTCTGAAGTTAGAATTAACAAAACCTTGACTTTTCACAGGATGGCCTCCATTTTCACCATTTTACAGATACAAAAAATTACGTGAAAAGAGGTTTAGTGATTTGTCCTGTAGCTCAGAAGAAACGTGGCCCAAAGCCACTCTGTCTTCAGACTTCTTGGCTGATCACTACTGTTCGACACCCAAATTAACATTTCTTTCTGAAACTGTGTCCAAGTCCCCTTCCCATTAGGTGACCTTCATGTCAGTGATCTGTATATCCCCTTCATTTAGTTGTTTTTCTATTTCTCTGAAATGTACTATCAGCAATATCATATTCTAAATCAAATTACCAGTCAATAATTATATAAATATTTATTCTTTTAAGTTGAACCAGGTTATAGTTACATACCACCAATAAAAACTATTGCATTTCCATTAAAAAAAAAACAAGTTAGGCAATAATTCTTACATTTTTAACAGACCATAAATATAATTTAAAAAATAATGCCAGTACCAAGTAAGTACTCTCTGCAACACTATTTATAGGTTGGAATTAGCATAAGCCATATCTATCTTGAACTTTCTTGATTGGAGAAGTAACAAAGAGACTAATTATTAAATACTTTCACTTACAAAGTAATTTTTAGAAATAGAAATAACTGTAATCTGTCCTGAAACTTTTTGAAGTTTATCAATATAATGAATGCTACAAGTCATATTTATGTTGCAATCTAAATATTATCAATCCTTCAATATTAACTCAGTATTCAAATTTCTAAAACGCAGTTATAGGAAATCCTGGAACTTTAATGAATAAAGGTATAAATTTTGAGTTAAGACATTAAATAGATCTTAAACCCTTCTTAAGATGCTAAAAGTAATCACCAAGAAAGGTGATTGGGGAGGGAAGATTCAGATGAACCACTTTAAGTTGGTATTTTCAAAATATGCATCATCCCACTATTTCGAAACTAATGGATGATGTCTACCAGTGTTTTGTATATGATTGACCTACACATTTTGGTTTGTAACAGAATTACATGCCTCCAAGTTAAGTTTGCAGCCATCACAAATCAGAATTCTTAATATTTGAAAGTAATAACTACAAGGATATCAGTTAAACACTTGCTAAGCACTTATTCTCTAGCAGGCCCTAAAACAAATGCTTTACATGAATTTTATCATTTAGATACTATTATTGCTCCATTTTATAAATGAGGAAACTGAGGCTAGAGAAGTGAAGTAATTTGTTAAAGTCCCAAAGATATTAAGTCGTAGGGTCAGACACAGCATTTTAGTTTTGACTTTAAAAAATCAACTAGTTATACCCAACAACATGAAATCAGAAGTAAAGTCTGCTTTATATATTAGATTGTAATAGTTATATACAAAATGTATGAAAGCACATTTGACATTCCCAAATAGCTAGTAAACAGAGCTATGGAATGGAAAGTGAGTTATAAACACAAAAGACAGTGTTAGTACAGTGTACAATGTAGCCCAATTTCTTCATCTGATTAACTTTGCATAAAGCTACATGGAATAGATGCTAAATGATTTGCCAAAATCATGTGACTCCAGCTAAAGGCAGAACTGGCACTAGAAATCTGAAAGCACTTCCTTTACTTGTTTCTGTATATCACTTTTAAAATAAGTGTAATATGAAATATATGCATAAAATTGCAATTAATGCTGACTTTGACATCAATTATTTGCTTGGAAAACTGTTTTGGTGTTAATGAAGCAAACTATGGCTTAGCCTTCAAGATCCCTGAAGCAGAGGGTTGTGCTTTTCAATTTGTTCTCTAAAACAACATCAGGGTAACAGTCATTAAATGCCATATCCATGCTTTCAGATTCATAATCAAAGAACCAGTCAATCCTCATTGTTTCAGCAATTTTCATATCAAATTGTGGTGTTTGTTAAAGAAGCTGATCTACTATAATACACATGTAATGTTAGTACTTTCCAAAAGACATAAACGCCTAACAAAATGAAATAACTCAACTATTCCTTTATGGCTTTAATTTCACATCTCTTCTATTTTCAAATACCTTTTCCTTCCTTGCCACCCAAACATCTTAACTCCATTTCCTGTGGCCCATTACTATGAAACCTTGGACAAATAAATTACTTGCCCTCTCAGTTACTCAGTATCTTCATCTGCAAAGGAAGGATAGTTTAAGGACCCTCTTAAATGTTGAAAAGCTTAAATGACCTAATGCATTCTGAACTATTTACAATAACTGACCCATGTTAATTTCTCAATACAAATTGTTGTTTTAACTGCTGAGATCGTTGCTGTTTTCTAACCTATCTCTGCTTCCTTTTAACACATGGAAATTACATCGGAACCAAATAACTAGCATTCCTTGCTGAAGCATAAATCAATTTGCTTGCCCTTGAGTAGACAAATGGCTCAATCTCAAGTGGCTGGTCCCCAAGAACTATCCCATGAACATGTAGAGTCTCTTTCCACTCCGATATCACAATGGGACCTAATATGACATTAAAAGCAAGGCACATCTAACATGTTTTCAGTGAATAATAATGGCCCCATATTTGGATTTTTTTTTCTATTAACTTCAATTCACACTGAGATTTGGATGTCAGAATTTCAAATCTTGGGGCATGTTATTTTTAAATTTACAACTCATTTCAAGTGATTAAAATAATGGAGTAGAAAAGGTCTAGGTTCAAAATGTGACTCAACTACATACTAGATATGCAATCTTGGGTAAATTAGACTCTCAAAGCCTCAGTTTCCACATTTGTAAAGTTGCAAAAATATCTGTATTTCACACAGAATTATTGTATGAATTAAATAAAATTATATATTACTTGGCACAGTGTCCAACAAATTATAAGTGTGTATTAAATTGTAGTCACTATTAGTATTAATACAAGAAAACACATGTAGTACAGATAATACATCTAATCTGGAACACATTTCTTTCTAACTTCCTTTAAGAAAGAACCTGTTTCATAATTTTAAAACTGGAAAATAAAATTACAGTTTGTATTTTGACTGAAATTGTATCGATCTCATTCTCTGTAGTACAAAAATTAAGGCAAAATACTCTGCAGATTCTTCCATTAAAATAACATGTAGGCCTTCAACAGCAAAGGAAATTTAGTTTTATGCTTATCAAGTTTAAAACTTAAGTAGAATCTACTCCATCACTATCAGTAGTACCCCTATAACACATTGTACTATTTAAGATTAAAAGTGATTTGTTCTAGAACTCAAACTTTCACATAACTGAAAAGGGAATTCTGAAATATTCCAAACTGCCACATTTATTGCTTAAAAATAAAGTTACTGAAAAGTAGTACACCTCCAAAAGCACCTTTACTATATGATGATTAAGTTATAGTTTTCGTGCTAAATCAATGTTCATTCTTAACTAAATATTACCAAAAATAATTTTGATTAGGAAGATTTCAATACGAAGTTATGATAGCCAATAACTTTTCTTTATAATGTTTTTCAATTTATCAATATATAAACACATTAACAACACTGGGCTAATCTCAGGAGATGACAGAGAAACATAACATTCTAATTTTAAAATGCATCACTCATGTTTTTTAAAATGTGTTCAAAATCAACTTGGTCCTCCTAAAAAGTAACTGTGGACTGCTGAAGACACGAGATTAGGATTCCCAGCCAGTTGGAACAAGTGCCTGAAACCAAGCCCACTCACATCCACACAAACCCCTGTTGAATAGGGTCCGTTTTGTCAATGGTGACACCCAGACCACAGAGAAAGAAGAAAACAGCTGACGCTAGGCACCACAAACCAGAAGCCAACTAGGAAAAGCAGAACGTGGAAAACTCGGTGAGTCACAGGTTTTACTTAGTACTGTGAGGAAACGATCAGCAAAATCACCAATCCCAATTCTCTCTCAACCCCCATACACAATATTAAAGAATTAAAACTACTGATGTAGTTTACATTTTCTCTTCTGCCATCCTTAGGACAAGTAAGCAGACTTGCCCTTCCCTCCAACCCCTACACCGCCCACCATTCCTCAAATAAGGACAATTGTGCTTATGCCTCTCTAAATTGCACAGAATCCACGCCCACACTTCTGGGCCGAGCAGCATGACACTGACAGTTTTCGGTCCCTCCCGATATTTCCAACTCGTAGCGCCTCCGCACAACTCAGAAGGACCCTAGCAAAACAGTAGAAACGACAGCGTAGCAAGGGTCTTCTGACCCTTTGCCTCCATGTAGGTGAACCAAAGAACCGATGCTCGGTTCACCCTAGGCACCCCAAGCCCCGCGCCGAGATCAAGACTGGGAACCACCTCCCTTGGGGGGAGGGGAGGAGGAAGGGGTCTCCAGCACTCCTGAGCCACCCCTGCCATTGTCCTAGGAAATCAGAGGGACCACGCGGCGAGAATGGGTCAGCGCGCAGCCGGCATTCAATTTGAGAAGCCGCCACCGTAGAGCTCTTAGGCCACTCCGCAAGGGGCGGGGGCGCCTGGGAGAGGCAAGCGAGGGAACCGGGAGCGTAGTTCCCAGCAAAAGGCTCAGCGCGCCTCCCCTCTGCCGACCCCTTCTAGTTGCCCTCATTTTAAGCGCTCTACCTTCAAGAAGCGAGCAAAGCCCGGTGCTGGAGTCCACCTCTGCCAGCTTCGGGCGCCACTGCGCAGCCTGCCTCGGGGGCGGAGAGCAAGACTCCACTGACAGAGAGGCCCTGCCAATTCCTTCCCATCAAACCCCGCGCTCCCGCCCCGGGCCAATCGGCGCCGCGGCCGACGCGCGCCGCTCTCCCGTCACGTGACCCTGGCCGGGGCGGGGAGTTGGGTAGGGCAGCGGGACGGTTGCCCTGGGGACGCCCGCTGTTGTGACTTTATGGCCAAGTGAGGTGCGCCTCGTCACGTCTGGGAGGTGCGATGCTGTTTATTTTGACTACTACAAATACTGTTAATTCTAACTCTTCTGCTACCTCCTCCTTTTCTTTTAAAGCCCATTCTGCGAATCTCATTGGAAGAAGAAAATCCCCGAAATTGGTCCTATACCACTTGGAGAGGGGAGTGGGGTGGAAGGTGGAGGTGGGTGCCCTTGGAAGGTAGTTTCTCCTGAAGAGTCGCGTCTGGGCTGTTATCCAGCGGGCAGCCGAGCAAGTCAGCACTACACATATTAGAAGAACCGGTTCCCAAAGAAGCCAGTGGAGAAAATTCACCCTAGCCGCCAGAAGTGCTTGAGGCTCTTATCAGTCAAAAACGTCACAAAGAGTCATTTGAAGACTGAACGCTTACCTCATCTGCGTGTGTTAAGCTTCAAATGCCAAAAGGTTGATTTCAAACTAGATAACAAAAACTGAGTTTTCTTTCTTAAAACTCTTACCTTAAAAACACCCTTTACGTGTCCGTGATACTTGGGCCCACAAATAAACCACCCAGCCTCCATTTGCCTCATTTAAAACATCGCCTGAAAAGCATTTAATTTCCTAGTCAACTGGAAATGACAATCCTAAATAACAAGATAGAGGAATCACACAAGGTAACATGGAAAAGGGTAGAGAAACGTCAACAAACCTTTTGTCATGTTTTATCCCTGCGACGTTTTTAACCCTGTGTGCAAACACTTCCATGGGATTTTTCTAATTTAGTTACACATTCTAAAATAAAAAGTTGGTATAATTTTTAAGGAGTGTAATTGTTTCAGTAGGCAAAGAAAAGAACTGTACATATATCTAGATGGTAAGAATAATTTATCCTGGAAGCTACCAGATAATTTATGGTGGAATTGCTTCTCCTAGCTGCCAAAATCTTTACTTACAAGATGAAGGAAAGGGAACCAAAGTTTACATGTTGTGTACTCTGGGTCAGGCACTTCACAAACCTAAAAGAAAATGAAAACAAGCATTTCACCTATTTTGATATAGAAGTTGAACCATTTTGTTTTTCCACCTTTGCTATTTCAACATACTTTTTTAAAAAAGGCCTGTGCAGTTATGCAGATACTACATCTCACCTCAGAAGCATCTCTTTTCCTAAGAGAATAGGAAAGAAATGCCTTCTGCTTGCTAAAGATTTGTTCTCTGATTTTAACTGAGCCATCAAGGTCTATTTGTAAAGAGGAAGAAACAGAAGGCGGGAGGCAGAAGAGGTAGGAAGATGCAAGAGCTTTCAAAACCTAATCCAGCAACAAAATTCTCTAGGTAAATGCTCTGGAAGAACAGAGATTTGGCCTGTTGAGGGGAGGGAGAGATGTACTGAGTCACTCTTCTAATCCTCCCAACAAACTTTTAAGGTAGGTATCATTTTTAAAATGAGGAAACTGAAGAGTTGAAAGACTATGTCCATTGTTGAAGGTGCTGTTTCACTGCCTCCTTTATATTAAGTGGTAAACGTTTGTTACGCACAGTGAGGAAAGACATTACAAGCTGAGATATCAATGTACTACATGGCTGGACTGCAGGCTACAGGGGTTCTTCTAAATATTTATTGAGGACAAGACCTTGTGTTAAGTGCTGAAAATAGATAAATAAAACAGCTGCTCTAAAGCAACTGACACTAGTGAAAGAAACCTTCAAGAAAACAAAAATACAATATAAAATGAATAAGTACTGTGATAGAGGCAAATGTTCAAGAGATTGGACGATGATCAGCCAGAGAAGATGTGGGACAGCCAGTGAAAGTGGTACTTTAGTTGTGTTCAAATATTAAAGAGTTATTCCCTACTAATCCTAAAATTATTCTGGGATAGATTTCAGGGAAGTGACATTGGAAGAGCACCTTTCTGGTGGGAAAGGAATCTAACTAGCCAAAAGAATTCAAAGGGTCTAGTTAAATAAACGAGCCACATGTATTTAGAGAAACAAATGAAAGTTACTAGAGATAGGTGCTATGAGAGCTTGCAGTGGGATCATTCATTGATCTGGTTTAGGAAAATGTAGGAAAGATCTCTTTGAGGAAGTTACTCTGGAATAAATATCTAAAGGGATCTAATAAAGATGGAGTTCTAATGAAGAAAGGAGAAAAGAAAACAGAGGAAACATCTTAGGTAAAGATGTTTTGTCATAAGGAACATGACAGGCATGATGGATTGAAAGTAGTCCATTGTGGCTAGGGTAGATTGCAGGAAAAAGGTACTACATCGTGAAACACTAAGACCAGACTAAGCAGGACCTCGCTGGCCATACTGAAACCTTCACTTTTCTTGAGAACAAAGTGGGAAGGGGATTTGATCTGATCAGATCTGTGTTTTGAAAAGATCATTCCAGCTGCAGTGTGAGACTATGAACAGGACCAGCATTGGACCATTTAGGATTTACTGGTGGTGATTAATGTTGGTAGTAGTTCAAGTGGACTGGTGTAGGAACAAGAAGATGAAGACATGTTAGGAAAATGAAACAATTTTGGAAGTAGAATGTTAGCTCTTGGTGATGAATTTAGATGTGAGGCTAAATGGGGATTGAAGGAAAGTGAGGAGTTAGAGAAGACAGGAGGATTTCTGTCAGGCTCAGTGAGTAGATACTAATGCTGTCACTAAGATGTGGGAACCCTGAAATGGAGTTGGGTTTGGGAGAAGATGATGATTTGAATTTGAACACACTGGGTTTAAGATGTTTTTGGACTTCAAGGAGAGGTCATGTAAACAGATTATGGATCTTCAGCACTGTGGAGGAATCTGGACTGGAGAAAAAATTATAGTTTGTAATCTGTTGTTTTCTACAAGGTACTTATTTTTTTCAAAATGCAATTATTACAAACAAATGTTTTTGAGTACATTGCAAAAACAAAAACAAAAAACAATGTAGAAGTCTCTAGAGCAGTTCCCCAGACTTCTCTGTGAATCACCTGGGGTCTTTGTTAAAAAAACAAATTCTCAGACCCCTTCTCTGGAAATTCTGACTTCTATATGTCTGGTATGGGGCATATGAATTTGAATTTTTAACATGACCACTGGTGGGAGTTTCCCTGGGCCATTGCCAAGGATATTCAAATAAAAGAACACAAGAGGCTACCTGCATGAAAGTTACCCAAGGTGCTTACTAAAATATAGATTCTTTGGCCCTGCAGACTAAAATTTCTGTGGGTGTAATAGATGGGAGGAATAGAGACAGGAATATTGTACAGTACCAGGCAGTCCACAACTTCACACTCTGCCTTTGAAAGAGGTGTCATGGGCTCACTACCAGGAAGTTCAGAGGAAAGCTGTTATCCTTTGCTGGATGAAGCATGTGTAGGCAGTAGGCAGCCCTCGAAAGCTGCTCTGATAACAACCTTCTAGGCTTCTAACCCAAGCCTCTGTCCCTGCCCACTGAAATAGCACTCAGCCCACTCTGATGCCCTTTTCCACCACTCCCACCAAACCTCATTCTTCCCTCCCAGTCTTCTTCAGTGTTATGCTCCACATATACCCCTCAGTTCAGTAGGCTTTTTTAAGCTAATCTGACCAGGGTTGGGAGGGAAATAGGGTCAAATGCTATGTTTTACTCTGGGAAAGCTTTTTCTTTTGTTCTTGAGAACCTACTTTGGAAGTTTTTTGTTTTTAAAGGCTGAATTGTTTGTTCTCTTTGTAGTCTTGCTATAACAACTCTAAGTCCCTATGAAGCATGGTAGATGCTTCTAACTAGGGACAGAATCAAGAAGAATGGGGGCAGGAGAAGATTAGAATTATTTGTGTGATGGGAAATATAGCAAACACACAGAAATGTTCATTGAGCATGGGCCTGTGAACCAAAGCATCACCAGTTCAATTCCCAAGCAGGGCACATGCCTGGTTTGCAGACCAGGTCACTGGTGAGGGGCCCCCAAGAGGCAACCACACATTGATGTTTCTCTCCCTCTCTTTCTCCCTCCCTTCTCTCTCTAGAAATAAATAAAATGTTAAAAAAAGAGAAAGAAATGTTCATAAAAACAGAAGTGTACTACTTAAAGACTATAACTTAAATACTCATGTAACTCTACTGGTAAAAAGTAGAACATTACCATCATTCCAAAAGGCCCCAATGTATCCCTTCCCTTAAAACCCCCAAGTGCCTAGAGATAACCACTGTCTTGATTATCAGATTATTCACTTTCTGGCTTTTCTTTGTAGTTTTACTGCCTAATTGCTCATTTTTAAACAATATAGTTTATTGTTTAACTCTATATAAATGGAATTATAGAGTAATGTTTTTCACATCTTAAATTTTTTTGATCATTGGTATGTTTTTAAGATTCAGCTGTGGGATGTGGCTGTAGTTTATTCATTTTCATTGCTTAGATCACTATATTGCATGGAAACATCATAATTTATTTATCTATTCTATTTATGGACATATAGGCTATTTCATGGTGTGGACTATTATAAACAATGCTGTTGTGCATGTGTGTTTGTATGCTGGAGCACATAAACACAGATTTCTATAGAATCTTTAACCTTGGAATTGAATTACTGGTTCATAGGGCATGTTTATCCTCAACTCTACAAGACCATGCCAGAATTTTTCAAAATAATTGTACCAATGTATATAACCAAAAACAATATGTAAAAGTTATTGTTGTTCCACATCGTCACCAATACTTGAATCATCTGACATTTTTTTAAAGATTTTATTTATGTATTTTTAGAGAGGGAGGAAGGGAGGGAGAAAGAGAGGGAAAGAAACACCTGTGTGAGAAACAATGATTGATTGCCTCTGGTACATGCCCCTACTGGGGACTATGCCCTGAATGGGAATTGAACCGGTGACCTTTCACTTTAAGGAATGATGCC